CGTACATTCAATGTACCGATGCCAGTTGGCATGCATCTTATTATGATACAGACACAGGTAACTAGGATCGGAATCTAGCGCATCGTTGATCCCGTGAGCACTTCAGAGTCAGTTGGTGAGCCTCATTGCATTCTGGAGGACTCTTTTTTAATGCTTTAAGTTATTTTATTAGTTCATTAGGATGTCGTGGGGTTTGTCTCGACATCCATCTCAATTGTTTTAAAGGCTTCATAGACAGTCAAATGTTAGTTCTTTAGTCTTTTCATTGTCATTATCTTATGTTAAGACTTGAGTTTGCCTTAATGGCCAAGTTGAATGTTCTTTTATAACATTCCAGTTTATTTCATAAATTTTTCTTTATTGATTTAAGTCTTTCGCTAAGTAAGTAAGCCAGGCCAAGGGTTCACTTGGGGACAACAATGGTTCTTGAGTGCCAGCCACATCTGAGGTGTAGGCTCGGGGCATGACAAGAATCCCCTAGTACAAAGTTGAGTTGAAAGCTTCCTTACCAATTGAGTTTTGATATAAGATCCTACTTAGTTAAACTTAAAACAATCATATCTTTCAGCACATAATAAATTAAGAGGCCTATGACCTCTGAATTTAAAGGTCTATGAGTCTTGTTTCCAATGCCACCAAATTTTCTTTATTTCAATTTTGGACTAAAATATTATGGTCATTTTACTGGAACATGCCTGGACTCAAAAATTCAGTGAGGTCACCTACTCAATCGGCAATTCACTGAATGGGTTGGACAATCGCCGAATTAGCTCACGTAAATCTCCTAAAAACCTCAAGTCTTGGTTTATTTGGGTGATCAAAATTTCCCGTAGGTAACTCACCGGCTATTTTTGGCGAGGAGACCTCTAGATCGCTGATTTGGTCAACAAGATTCATTAAAAGGTAGTTTTATTTCCATTTTATGGTCCTCTTACGTTTCCAGAAGGGTATTCTTAACCTTTTACCCTCAACTAAATTTCCTAAGTCTATATCATAGCTTAATTTCCTCCCCAATCCCGCCCAAGCCTCAAACAAATCGAATTCACACATTTTATTTTCTCTCAAAAAGGAAGCTAATGTTCTTCAACTTCAAGCCCAGTTCAAGGTTTCAAGTCAGCCTCATCTTCTCGGGTATGTAAGGATATTCATAGTGTTGGATTAGTTAATCCTCAAATTCCTACATCTCAATTCATTTAGTAGCAAGTCGAATCTAGGGTTTACCCCAATTTATGAAATTCTTGAACATGAGTTATAATTTTGTTCCGAGTTTTGAATCCTTACATTATGACATTTGCAATATTTTATGGTTTGAGATTCTTGATTTGTTGTTCATGCTTGTAGTTCCAAATACCCTATATGTGTTGAGTTTCTTTCCAAAAGTATTTTACATTGCTTTTGAGGATTCAGTGAGTCCAAGAGATAGTTTTTAAAACATCATTTTCAGAAAGGTTTAAGGGAATTTAGAAAGTTCCAAATGTTTATTTTTACATTAAAAAGATAATATTATTTTTCAGAAAAAAAGTATTAAGAGTTTTCAGATGGACTTAGTACAACTTCAGTTACCTCTTAAAGAGGCCTTTTGAGAAATTATCTCAACACAGAGAGTACTTTTACATGAGCATAGAGTATTATATATTTGGGAGTAGTATTGAACATCGATTTGGGGTAAGAGTTACGATAACTCAATCTCCATAAATTACGCCACCTACATAGATAGGATCGTACTGCAAGATGGGCGACTCCTCGCCTGCCTCAAGAAGACTTTTTAGTGGATCCATTAGTTCAATTGTGTTCTACACGTACTCCGGCAAGGTATAGTGCGGCTTTGGCAATGTGGGTAAGAAGTTGTATCACCACAAGGCTCATAGTGATAGTTGTTGGATAGATAAACTCCCTAGTAAAGTAAAGAATAATTTTTTTTGTGTGTGTATATATATATATATATATATATATATATATATTAGTTCAGTAATTGCTATTATTGTATTTTATTTGTGAAGCTTAAGTAATTTTATCTCATGTTTATGCTTTACTTAAGTTGAGTTATACTTCAGTCTTTCAGTTCAATTATTATTTCACTCAGCCATATTACATACTCGTGCATTCTATGTAGTGACGTCATTAGACTTGCATCATTTTCTGATACAGATACATGTGTTCGGATGATCAACATACGTTTTGTTGAGATCACCCAACTAGTCTTAGTTATCTATCCTATCTACATCTCCCACTGATTACTGATAGTCTCCCACTCTTTTCAACCTATTTTCTATCCATTGTCTATCTTTAAACGTGTGTTTTCTATTTAGTATCTTGTGTGTACATTCCAGTTGTATTTGCTTGAAAACTGTTGTTGAATTTGGGACACGTTGATTCCAGCACACTTCATTTCCTGCGCCCCATATGTGATATATAATTGCTACTGTGATTGTCCATAGGAATGCTTTGCTTACTTTTCCAGCAGCCTTTCTAGCAATTCTATTCCACCATCCATTTATATCTTGTTGAACTATATTTATTTGAAGCCACTTCATTATGTTTATTAGACATGCTTGAGAGAAAGCACATTTGAAGAATAGATGCTCTATATTCTCGTCTTTGCTTCCACACAGTTCACATTTCATATCAGTGATCAAATTCATTGCCTTCAGTCTTTCTTTGGTTAGTAATCTTCCATGCATAGCTAACCAACATGTGAATTGATGCTTAGGGATACTGTTGTTGTTCCATACTACTCTCCAGAATGGCCATTCCTCTCCATGTCCCCTTCTCCACGTATAGCCACTCTTGACAGTGTATTTCCCTACTTGTTTAAGCCACACATTCTGAACATATCCAGATGCATATGTTCTTGTGCAATTTGTTCTTGAGCCACTTTGGCAGGTTTATCAAGCTACTGTGGAAGCTGATAGAGACAAGGGGATGCTTGAGAAAGTTATAAAGTCTTTCAATTTGTCTATACTTCCCCGCGAACTTCAAAAAGAGGATCCTAAATCTGTACTTCAATCTATTATGAGTCTTTGGCTTCCATTGTCTGATACCATATTGTCTATTGCTGTCAAACACATGTCTGATCATATATCTGCTCAGTCTTCCTTATATCTCGGCTGCTTCCAAAGCGAGAGCTCTTGAATATATATGGCATAATAAATACATTAAGTTGTGCATTCTCTGTGGGCAAAAAAAAAAGAGCAACATATATTTTAGAAAGACTTGAATATGCAAATAAAAAGCTATCTAAGCTATCGGCATAAACTTAATTTGGCTTATTGTTATTGTCGTGATTTGTCTTATTGTTATTGTTGTGGTTGTTATTAAATTTCACTGATTATTATTGTCTTTTACAGGAAAAGTATCTAGAAATATTACAGAATCAAACACAAACTCAATCTGATGTTGATCAATTGCAAGCATATTATCAAGCTGCGGGAGGGAAAAAGAAAAGAAGGATTTATGGTCTTGGAGCGCAAGATAAATCATTTTTTTGGACGAATCTTTGTGCCTCAGCTTCTGGAACTGATGCTTCATCCTTAGTACCATGTACGAATGCTCAAACAATAGCAACATAAAATTTGGATGACTTTATGACACGATTGATCCCTTCACTGACTGATCAAATGCTTCATGTACTTTTTGAGTGTGTACGTGGATTGATTTCTTCAACCTCATCTTAGCCAAACACACTTATGACTCCTGTAACTTCTACTCCAGCTAATGTTGATGGGGCTCATGCATCAGTTTCAGATGAAGATTAATGTGGTTCTCCAATCTCTCTTAGTTAGTTTTGTCGGCTAGATATTATTTTTGTTGCAAATACTTTTAGTTTTTTTGCTTGGAAATTATTGTTGGGGTTGTTTTAAACTTGGTTATGCACTCTGTAGTTTGTTATGTGTTTTGGATCTTATAGAATATTAGTTTCTATGAATTAAGTTAATTTTGCAACTTTATAACATATGTTTGAATAGGATTTGCAATAATAAAATTTATAACACCAGTCTTTAGTTTACTTTTAGTAGTTGTTTAAGGTTGTCATGGGTCTTGTCCCGACCCCTATCTTAAATCAGTAGAGGCTTCATAGATAGATAATTTTAGAGAGTCTCTCGGTATTTATTTACAAATATTTTGCTAAACTATTATTGTTTACATTTAGTATTCTCAGTTAGTTCATACAATAATTGATTTAAATATTTTCTCTTCAGTTATTTAAAACTAAAAATACTTGAGTAAGTCTCCTGCTAAGTAGTCAACAAGACCAAGGGTTCACTTGGGGATCAACAATGATTCTCGAGTGTCGGTCACGTTCAGGTGTAGGCTCGAGACGTTACAGGTAAGAGTACTCTTCAACTTAACAAGGGCCAAATGCCTAGACTTAGGACAAAGTTGGGCAGAGCAAATTTCTTTGTAAGCTTTTTTTTTTCTGTATAATTTATGATGCCTTCTGGATTTTAGGTCATTATATCATCAAGTAATTACAAAAATGTGTTGTATCAAACCCCTTTTTGCTAATGTAACACCACTCAGACATTATCTAGGTAATTGAATAAATAACATTTCTTGTCATTTTTATACTACGGACACAAATAGATACAAATGTGCCCAAGAAAACACTACTCTGTCTACTATGACCAAACATAGAAAATGAAAAATTGCCTACAAGTTGTGATTTGACATAGGACAAACATAATTACCAGAAAAAGTATTTTAGGAAATTCAAACTGCAACTTTTTGAATTTTTTTTTCTTTTCAAAACCACACACTTCTACGTAAGCATATTTTGATAATTTGGCCAAACATGCTAAAAATAAAATAACCGAACAAAAAAAGTCTCAAAATTTAGTCTATCAGTATAAAAGATAAAAGCAATAGCGTATCTCACCGGCTTGAGATTTTCATAAGTCACAAAAAGGGTAACACATCATCCTTCAAACATAATACGTTATCTAAGGTTTAAAATCTCCAATAAAATTAAATAACAACATGAAACTAATTCATCATAATTTTTAATCAGAGCAACCCAATGTTGCTTTGATTTTTGAAACTGTAGAGCTCAAAAGGCTTTGAATATAAACCATTGCCTCCATATGTTGGTCCTGGGAGATTGAATTATTAGCACAAATCAACTTTTGAAAAGCCACTGTCAAGATTGATCCATTTTGTGCATTTCCATTACTGTTCATGTCTGAGGCGAGGCGACCATCAGGACTTATGATGATACCTGAAGGCAAAATGACAACTTTTTCCCCATCGACTCCATTGAGAAATGAAGTGTATGTTGTTGAATCTATTGGTCCATAGATTAAAAAAGCTCCCATTTTATCGATGCTTGACTCTTGAAGAACTAACATGTTGTTCCCTATTGGCATAGGCTACATACACATATAAACAGTTTCAGAAAAAATAGTGTAAGCACTAAAAAGAAATCCGAATTGTGACGGACAATTTTTGACGCTAAACGAAAGCAATTTCATCTTATTAGCTTAGCAACAAGTAAGTGATGAATTTCATAACTAATTCTTGTCCTTTTTATAGTCATATGTATTTATCATAATTAGTTTGTCTACCACTCAAAAGTGAAATTAGACCACAAAAAATGCCTTTTGATTAAGTAATCAAAGATTAAAAAAATAAAGGGGAAAAAAGATGCAAGTTCGAAATTTTGGTATTTTTACATGTGAAAACAAGATGAATCCAAATCATAGGTACTTTTTTTAAAAATTCTTGAGATATAGTAAAGTATCATTATTTGATAATTTAAGAAGAAAATAGCAAACCATAAATAAATAAATATGACAAATACCTGAATGAATGTAATACAATTTTTTGAACAAGTTCCCGTAAGTACTCGATCCCTCTCAGTAACATTATTTCCACCAGATAAAGCATCCCACTAGAAATAAAAAATCAAAATCAAACGATAAACAAAATCATAATTTGATTGTCAAAAATTATTTCATGATCAGAGTATTATAAGACCAAATAATAAAATAAAATTAACTATGCACAGTTAATGCTAAGAGTTAAGCATGTAGATAACTTGAGAGCCTAATTATAGATAAGTAGAATTTATGACTTTATCTTGATGGTTTAAAAAATTATTAACACTAAACTTATTGTACTTTTAATATTATGAGTTAAGATTCTCATATTTATTATTTATTGAAATTTTTGTGAATTTCACATGAAAATCAATACAGGGATTGAAAAAAAGTTAATCTATAAGGGTACTTTGAAGGGTCGTTTGATTAAAAAATAAGTTATATAGGGATTGATAGTACAAAAAATATATTTTATAGGATGTTCGATTTACTACATTAAAAATAATTATATACAGTACAAAGATACATATCGTAAGATCTTTGTTTAACAACAACATTTCGCTATGACATCTAATTTCTTTGGATCCGATGTCAATATCATATTATATTAATATGTTCTTTATAACAACATATCTATTTAGCAACCAAAAATATAAATGAACAAACTGCACTATTATAAATAGGTTTGACACATACCTGACATCTTGTGTTGTTATCTTTGAGGAGATTAAAAATAGTTTCAAATGAAAGAGGAACCCACAGGGAAGTAGCAGCAGTAGCAATGAAGCCTTTCGGTTGGGTAATTTCTTCATTTTTTCTTATAGAAACTCTATCTTCATTATTCAAATGTGATGAAGTTGAAAAACCTAATTTCTCTGTCATGCTTAGAGTTTCACAAAAACTCTTCACCATTCTTTGAGATAGGTTCATCACATTTTTCACCCCTTCTGAAATATCATTAAAAAAGCAAAAATTAATATTAACTTATCAAATTAGGGTGTGTTTAGTGTGACATAAGGAAATTTTTAGAAAATATTTTTTTTTGAAGAAACATTTTGAAAAATATAATGAAGATTGATCCATGATAATAATATTAGCAAATCAGATAGTGTTTAGATGATATGTTCAGGTGTTAAAGATGATAGTAATGTCCTAATGGTTTTGAGGTGTTGATATAATGTTAAAAGTTAAGATAATTTTTAGTGATCATTTTTCCTGCTTCTTTGTTGGAAGATATTTCTGTAGAAAATAATTTATTTTTTATTAAAAAAACACTATCCAAACACATCCCTAAAAAAAATAAAACTTTACGGATATGTTTTGAGTTAAAAATTGTGATAATTGCAAAGAAAAATGTCTTTCACCCAAAGATAAAAGAGGTGATCACTTTTCAGACCTTTTAGAGGGAAAATATTTTCTCTAGTCAAACATCGAAAAATAACTTATTTTTTCAAAAAACAAAATTCACGCCAAACACACTTTTAAAGCTAAAAAAGAACTTTTGAAAGGAAGAAGACGTTTCAAATAAACAAAGAAAAAGGATGGATTCAAACCACATCAAGATTTCCTTTTTTCTAATCAAAGCCGCCTTGAGACGACGATTCATTTTACATAGACTCTTATCTTATCTTATAGATTAATTTTGAAAAGTCATAAATACGTAAAGAATGAGATATAAAACAGAACCTCCTTGGGAATCATCCGTAGTAGCATATGTTACAGGCATTGCAAAATTATATCTCTCAGACATCCTTTGAAGTGTAACAATCCATCTTTCAGCTCCATATGTTTGACGTCCACATAACAAGTCTCTAAAGATATGATTCACCTGACATTTTTCATCTATTTGGACATGTTCAATCCATGCAACCTACAAGACAAAAACTAATCAAGAAAGTATAAAAATAACTTGATCATTGGAAACATTTTTGATAGAAATGTATATTGCGAATTCGTGTTTTTTTAAGTAGTGAATCTTACAAGGTGAGGATTGTTTAATATCATAGAAGAATACAACTATTCATCCTCTCTTGTTTATATTTGAACGTTTGGCGCATCAACAACCTAATATGGATCGGTGTTCAACATTAATTGTTAAATTAAGAATAGTGATAGGCCTGGCAAATCTCATAGAACATGTTATAAAGATGATTATTGAATCTAATGTAATCCCAAAATATAACTCATAAGGTTGTTATCAAGATTGTCCAAGGATATACATAAAGATCAAATGTTCATTTTGTAAACGAATAATGGGGACACTTTAAACAGCCGCGACACACATTCAAAGCTAAATATTTGGAGTGTGAACAACATAACACGAGGATCTGATATTGGATAAGTCAAGAATAAAGATAGGTCTCATTCTTATACCATATTAGGAAATAGACACAACGATATAGGCATCATACGTGTAAACTTCTACCTATGTAATAAATTCCTTGGAAAATAAGCTACATGTAAATAGTGATATTTATCATAGGTTTGAGTTGTGGAAACAACCTCTTATAAAAATGCAAGATAAATATGTGTGCCCTTGTGGTCCGATCCTTTCTTAGAACCCGCGCATAGTAAAATTTTAGTGCACCAACTACCTTTTTATATAAATAGTGATATATTCAGAGAGAGAAAGTGATTCTTACCATACTTTTGCCATCACCTGTATCTTGAATTACACAACCAGAAGGAAACTTCCAAGCATAAGAAGGTGCACAAGTTTTAATCTCTTTGAATAAATCATAAGAAACATCCACCATTATCCATGTTGTTTGATCAAGTTGTTTACAACAACGTATGAAGACAAAATCTCTAGCTTCCACTAGAGGAGATAAAATATGTAACTTTTCATACATCTGTTTTCAAGAATCAGAAAAAAATTAGATCATTTTGTGAAGCAATTTTAATATCTATTTAATTTTTAGGAAAAAAAAATTCAAAGTTGAATTAAAATTTTACTAATTGTATAGAGACTTCTGTATTCCCAGAATCAAGAACATCAACAATCCTAGCTTTTGTGACTATAGTAGGAAACATGTTCATCCATTTGCTCTGCATATATAAAATCAATCAGCATATGATTAATGATTATAAACAATAATAATTATGCCTAAAATTTTTTATTGTTTTTGGGCTCGACTATGTAAATACTCATTGTACATGTTTGTCACTCCATTTAAACTTATCTTAATCAATATTGTATGGGAACAACTTAAAATTAAAATGATATATAGAAAAGTAGCTAAAAATTTGAAGTCATTGGAAAATAACGAATTTGAAATCCATGACGGAAGTGTGTTAGATTTCAAAAAATAATGATAGCAACTTTGGATCTCTCACTTTCTCAAGTTCAAAATCTATGACACTAACATGGTATGTGTCCATGGTATGTTTCCACATCAAAAGAGGTTAGTTTTCAAAACAAAATTAATTAAACACTTTATATTTTCAAAAATCTATCCAAAAGTTGACTAGCACACACACTATTCACTATATAAAACACATGAGAGATACTTATATATATAACACAGCAAGCCTAGGACCCTACTGACACGTTCTAAAGTCGATCAGCCTAAGCCCAAAGTAAACAATATCACTTGTGAATTGAACTGTTATAACATAAAAATGTTTAAGAAACTTACCGGATCACGGAAATTTTTTATCAAATCAATTGCAGTCATTGGCACAACTCCAAAACTCCTTGATGATTCAATTCGAGCAGTTGATGATTTATAAGGTCGATTTGAATTTGGAAATGTTCTATCATAACTCTCACGATGAATAAGCCACCCCTCATCAACTGATGATTTTACCCAAAGTGGTTCATTCACATACACAAGTCCAAGCATTTCATTGATAGCAGGAACAACTATCTCAAAAATAACTGATTTCTCCCCATTATTATCATGATGAAACCCATAATTTTCTTGTTCTAATTGGGATATTATTGGGATATTTTTAATATTTATTGAATGTGCTCGAACATTATTATTGTCATTATTATTTTCTGGATGAAAAGAAGAATTATATCCAATGGGAGAGCCACCTATAGTTTGCCTCAACAAACATTCATCAGACGAATTTGTCAAAGATCCAAGAGTAGAATTTGGTGGTGCCAAAGTTGAATCCATCACAAAAGACTTTTCATGATAACTTGAGATGATATTTGATATTATTCTTTTACGCTGCAGAATAAAAATAATAATTGCTAAGTTAAGTTACGTACTATAATAGACAATTATTTATATTAAACATGATTTTGAGAATGTAAAAATATAAAGTAAATAATTGCTATCTGTGTATATATATGTAACATAAATTCCCTTCATTCAATTAGTTGACTATGAGATGAAGGTGAAATCAAGAGACTCATGAAATCATAAAGATCGAGAACATTGTTTCTCTTGGAAAGAATAAACATTGAAGCAAAAGATTCACATGAAATCATCTTAGCAAGAAAGTCAATTATGACTTTATTCATGGAAACAGAATCACTCACTCATTTCTAAGAATCAAATCTTTTCGATTCTTCTCTTCAATTATTCCAACGACTTCTTCTACTATTATAAAAAGCCAATAGAAGGAGATAAAATATATAACTGAACTTTTAAGCAATCACTATATTTCTTTGAGAATTTGGATTGTACAAGCAAAAATATGACTAAATTCTGGTCCATCTACTGTGGCCTTATGTTGGCATAGGATTAGGGTTATAACATGTACTCAAAAAAAGGAAGAGAGAAATATTATTTGTGAGACTATTGTATCAAAAAAAATTCGAGTGAAAAAAACACTGAGTATAGTCATAGGAAATATACTCCAACTCTGTACAAGAACATATTCAACGAACTAGAAGAGAATACAATTGCAACCAAAGAGGACTAGACTACAATCTATTCAGGATCCCTATTATTATAAAAATATTTGGTGTCAAATTAACTTTTCGTACTTCCATTCTTCCCTGTGGGTTGAACTGCTTTGGATTTATCAGAAGTCAACTACTGGAGTCAATCGACTTAGAAAAGAAAAATAGAAACTCACCCCGTCCCACCCCTCTTGCATTTTTAATAGGTATCAGAGCAAGGTATCACAACTTATTTCCTAACAATAAGTGAGAAACATCCTTCCAAACAAAGTTACTACTGGAGCATTATTTTAAGAAGGAACTTCACAATTTATGCCTCGGTACATCAGCGGGAAACATTTATCTCATTGGAAAGTAAGAATGGAGACATTCAAAAAATCTCTATGATGTGAAAGTGTGGATAATCGCCATGCTTGGAGACAATCCTATTCCTCTTACCAAGAAAGATGAAAAGATAGTAGATGATTGTCAAACATCAACTGAGCTACTAAGTTTAGAAAAATATGTTGATGGTTATTCAAACAAACTCCAAGGCAGGCAGAGAATGTGTTATACAACTCTACCAGTGGTAAGGAATATGAGAAGATATCAGATTGTATGAAAAAATGGGATAAGTTGGAAGTTACATATGAATGTACTAATAAAGTCAAGAAAACAATTGCCAGCCTTCTTGTGTGTGAATATGAATTGTTCCAAATGAAGGAAGGAGAATATGTTGAAAGCATATTTTCTAATCTAAGAAAGATCATTGGGTAAATCAAAGCATCATGTAAAACCTACCCCATGGTGGAACACATAAGAAGAATTTTGAGAATTTTTCCTCCTCAATAACATTCAAAGATTGTCTCCATTGAAAGCATGAATCTCAATACTCTTACATAAGATGAAGTTAGAGGGGATCTCATTGCTTTTAAAAAAGGTTCATCTCAACAAACGAGGGCAAGAAGATAACAAGAAGAAAACAATTACGTTCAAAGTCATTGAAGAAGATAAAGAAGAGAACTTATTAGTGAAGATGAGGTTGATCTAATTACCAGATCAGTCGTGGAATCATTTAGGAGATTAAAAGATATATAGAAGAACTTCTTATGAGAAACCAAGATTAATGATGGTAATTACTATGGTTGTGGAAAGTATAGGCACATTTCTAACGAAGGTCCAGAAGCAAAGAAGAGATACTCCAAGGAATATCAAAGAAACGTATCACTCAGTAGTCGGAGTAATGAAGACAACTTAGAAAATGAGAATGATGAAATGGTCAATGTATGCTTCATGGAAATCAGAGAATCTAGTTAGCTAAGATCTAAAACTTGTAACAATTATGATATATTTGACCTAAATCGAGTGTTTAGTGATTTTAGAGTTATTCAAATAGAAATGAATGACTATGAAATTAAAATTTGAAGTTTTTGAAATAGAAAATGATTTTCTTTTAGAATAAAACCACAATTTGCTAATATAATAACTTAATGACATGTTCAAATCAATTAGTCCCAGTCTACTCATATTAATAAGCCAACTAGTAAATAATCTATTAATTACAAATCTTCCCCAAGTAAAATCTATTATAATAGTGTCACTATGAACAAGACAAACCAGTCAACTGATCTTGAGCTTCCAAATGACAATCCTAGTTATTGAAAGTCGACTCATATGTCAGTCACTAAATAGCCCTTTTCTTAGTCTTGCTATTATTATGAAAAATCTTGTTATAAACATTACAAATGCAGAGTTCGTTTTGCCAATTCTTGCGGATGGGTTTGGAGACTCAAATCTATTTCTACTAGTTTTAAATCTAACCCCAAAGGTCCCTACTCAACTTGGGTACCTAACATAAATAATTACTCTTTATTGAAGGAAGACCACAAGAAGTAAAAAAGGATAATGATATTTTATAGTGCGTGTTCGAATCATATGACAGGCAACAAAAAACCTATTTAAGTTCATTGAGGTGTTAATAGAATGAATAAGTTTTCCGCTCTTATCTTGTTCTTGCTTTATCTTTCCACATTTCTTTCGTGTCGTTGGATTGAGGCTGACTTGTCTTGATGGGAATTGACAAGTGTCATCACATCTATTTTTGAGTCGTGACAATCTTATAAAGCTTTTAGTAAACATACTTTAAATATGCATGGAAGAATCCATTCATGTAGTATACTTGGTTGAGAAGAGTAATAGTACATATGATGATGGGGAAAATTTCCAAAATCATTGTTGCTCCTCCTCTCAAGCTGTTGAAGTAATTCCAAAATTAATGGAGAAGCGAGCTTGACTATCTAAAGAAATTCATAATTAGAGATCTAGCAAAGGAATGAAAATAGGAGATTCAAGCAAAAGTAATGTCAATGTACAAAAAAACATTGATGAAGCTCGAAGTGATAGCCATCTAAGAAGAGCTAGATGAATTTGAGAAAAATCCACTATGGTCAGTGGTTCCTAAGATAGACAAAAACATCAGTAACTGGGACAAAATAGGTATTGGGAAATAGCCTGAATGAAGATGGAGAAGTTGTTCGAATCAAAGCTCGGTTCATGGCTCAAGGATACTCACAACTAAAGGAACTCGACTATATATGATGAAACCTTTGCTCCTGTAGCCTGATTAGAATCCATTTGCATTCTTCTTGCATATGTTTTGTTACAATGGTTTTAAGCTATTTCAAATAGATGTAAGCTAATTGTGTCTACTCTTTTGTTTTCTAGTGCGTTAGTCTATTATATAACTACACCATTTTTTTTATAGAGGTTAGGACTAATGCCTCTCCAGTATTTATCTCTTCCAAGATATATACAACCCAACCTGATATGGAAACCTTTTGGAAAAAAAAATTCAGCCTTTTAAAGATAAAGATACTTAATATTTTTGGGGGGATTTTTCACCTGGTATTAAATAGGAAAAACTACCTAATTACATAAACATTCCTACTATATTTATTAATTCTCCCTAAAGTTTGAAATAATTACGTACTGTCTCACTAATTAATAATTTTGTACCAGATTTCAAGTGAGATACACCTAGATGCATATTTTTGCGACAAGATACACTGAAATAAGGAGAGAGACTAATGAGAACGGGAGGGAGTTTCAACAGAGATTTGTCTATGTATCCTAGATACATGTTAATAACAGTAGATACATGTATCTAGGATACTAGATACGCGAGTGAGCTAGGAGAGTAGCGAACGAGATAGGAGGAAGGCCAATGAGATTTGTCTATATATCCAAATACATGTGAATCCACTTGAATATAGTGTATATAGAAAAATTAGACCTTATTTGACCCCCTATATTCGAGATACATGTATCTGGATGCACCGATACATGTATCCAAAGTCCATAATCTGATAAGATTCATAATATTGCAAACTAGTATGTATCTAAGTAACTAGATGATAAACTATTAAAATTTTTGTAAGTTACCCTATTAAATACCCGTAGCAGGGCCTCCACGAATTCAAATTAGCATCATGTAAGGCCCATTAAATAAAAAGCACTTTCTATCCTGATCGATTCATTACTAAAGCTCGAACCTAACACCTCTGATTAAGGATGAAAGATCTTTTTCATACTATCACAATCCTTGGTGATAGGTATGTGATGCTTAATTCATTCTACTTATAAAATTATGGATTCAGATAAACATATGTTTAAACATTGTGAGTTCTTACAAAGATACGAGGTTTGGATGAAGACAGTGTTATGACGTGGATCCACCCCAGATTTATCTTACCATAATATTTTTTAGGAAGAATATAGATATATAAGTGTAAAACCAACTAAAAGTTCAATAAATGTTAGTTTAAATGGATGTCAATGTAGAACTGACTCCTTAGCACCCCTAATGTTCTACATACCTTAATGCTCGAATTAATCCAATAAGTTCAAATCATGTACATGTGTTTGTCTCTTTTTATGTATAGGTAATTTTTTTCAAGGAAAAAAATTAATTAAAAAGGCAAAAAAATTAATGAGGTTGAATAAAAGGCTTACCTCCTCTCTCAACCTTTGCATGTTTATCTTCAATTTTTCTATATTTCCTGCCCTCTCTTCTTCTCCAATGAGTGGACCATCACATTTTGAGCGCATATTATTTTCCATTGCCTCTTTCATTTCAATAAACTCACGACGGAATTTTTCATTTTCGTTTTGAAAATTCTGGTTGTCTGATCTCTCATTTTTTGTCTGAGGATATATATAAAAAAAAATTAACCACACAAATATAAAGACAAATAAAATCAGATGTTATGAGTTTATTAAATGTATAAAGAGAATGCTATTAATAATTCATAGGATAATATTATTTTTTGCTCCTAAAATTTAGATATTTTTTTATCTTGGTTTTGATATTTGACGAATCACATTTAAATTTCAATCTAATAGAAATGTGTATTTTAGTCCTTTTATGTAAGATGTATTTCGTAAGAACTACTTTCAAAATTCAAATATGAAAGTAACAATACAAGCTTAACATAAATCTAGGTAATTAAGTGGTCGAAAGTTTAATAATTATGCTAATTTTGTTAATATTCACATAAAAGGAATCAAAAGTGCACATTTCAATTAATTGAAGGTATATATACTTAATAATAATTCAATGACCAACAGTGCTATTAATTCTTTTTTTTATTAAAGTGTGTGAAAATTATTTTCTCCCTTCATCTTTGCCTAAAAGTTTAAATTCCTACTCTAATTTTGAACAACATACATTTTCTTCCTCATATATGTTTTGATAGATTAATACTACACAGGTGAAAAAATTTAGACCATAAAAATATATGTTTTGATAGATTAATACTACAAAGGGGAAAAAATTTAGACCATAAAAATATAATCCATCCAACGCGCTCAAATTTGGGCAAATTTGATTAGACATATTTTCGTGGGGGATCGATTTAGTAAAACTCAAGGTAGCATGTTTAAAAGTTGGCTGATATAGACCAAAATATGTAGCTTAAATTGATTCAGAAGATAATTTGTTAAATATCCATTTTTAAAATAAAATAAAATTATTTGAGATGTTAGATATAGTCATAAATAAGAAAAATTATAGTTTGTTCGGTAATTACTCAAATAACAAGAAAATAAGCTAAGAATTGTTTTTTTTTTTTTTTTTTTTTGTTACCGTAAGAAAATTGGGTTATGGTTCATTTTAAGCGCAATTCAGCCCAAATAAACTATAACCAGCTCATTTATTTATTCAAACCATTTTGACTAGCCTGAACTTTATTCAAACCACCCATTTAATAATCTAAGATTTATTTCATCCAACAAAGAATACATAAAAGGAAAAGTATTAGTTCCTAGATGTAAACCCATATTTTCTTTAACTAAATTCTGAAAATCTAATAGAAAGACAAAATGATGACCATTTAGTAATTGCTTGCTAAGTTTTGGAACTTGTTAGAGAATTCATCTATTTCAAATAATTTAACATGATTCTAACATTGGTTTAAATGAGTTGCAGTTCAATCGAATTAGAGGTGGAATGAAAATATTTAAACTTGTTTCATAAAATCCATATATTTATGATGCAAAGGACTTACTTTCAGATCCTTTGATCAATTCAACAAGACGAAAATAAATAATTGATTTAGGAAAACTATACTGAAATTGAAAAGTAAAATAGTCAATAATAGAAATAATTGTATACAGGGAAAAAATTAAAAAGATGAGGAAGTAAATGTACTAATTAGTATTTAAGAAAGAATTTATATATTCTATTTAATTACACTTCCGAAAAATTTAACTAAGTTTATAAAATCTATTTTGGGGCCCAACCCAAGAGATTCACTGGCCTTGCCTTCGATCTGACCCTATTTTAACTAGTAAAATTTAGGCAAATAACATAGTATAAGAAAGAAATTACTTCTTTTCTCTACTCTTTCATTAATTACCAAAAATCCCTTTTTTTAGTGTTTTTCGGATACATAATATAGCAGTGTGGATACTTAATATAGCAGCGTAGATACTTTAATTAATAACGGACGGATACTTAAATTATTAAGTTGTTAGCAGCACGGATACTTAATTAACAGGCGGATGCATAATATAGCAGCGCAGATACTTTAATTAATAACGGACGGATACTTAAATTATTAAGTTGTTAGCATCACGGATACTTAATTAACGGGCGGATGCATAATATAGCAGCGCGGATACTTTAATTAATAACGGCCGGATACTTAAACTAATAAAGTATCCGGTTAAGTTGAATTGGGGGAAAATAAGGGATTTTTGTATTTTAGTAAAAGAGTAGGGAAATATTGAGAATAGGTAAAGAATTGTTGTGTATTTAAGTAATTTTTCCTTTTAACTAATCCTTTATTTTCCTCTAGATTTTTGCAAGATATAATGCAAAAAGAAATATTAGTTCATTATTGTGTGTAAATAACAATAATAATTCATCAATTAAGTATAATTAACTTTATAGTAAAAGGACTAATCAATTACCTTTGTTTGAGTCCTTTTATTTTGAAACCAACCCTTGATCTGATCAGGGTCAAGCCCTGCTTCAATAGCCAGTTGATTTCGCTGGTCCTCATCTGGAAATCGACATTTCTTGAAAAATCTACATTTCAAAATTCACAAAAAGATTTATTGTTATTGACCAAACAACTTTTAAAATAAACTTATAAATTAAAATATATATTTTTATATATCATAAAAAATATGGTGAATTGGTAAGTATATCTCTATCATTAACTAGGCTCTCAAGTTTGAATTGCTGGAACGAAAGTCGTCCTTGGTAGATAACATTTTACCACCAAAATGAGACTTAATTAACAATGTGAATTTGGATTAGTCATAAAGAGGGTATAAGATACTCATCTCGGAACTAAAGATTGGTCATTAATCATTTATCTTTAATAAGATGCCTCATGTTTGTGTTTTGGGACTTGAGTTGTCATCTTTGATCGGGAGCATTTTATCGACGTAAATCTGAATTGGTTGGGTCCTAAATAGAACTTTTCAATGTAGATTAGTTGGGCCCTAAAGTAGAATTTTCTTAATGCAAATCTGAATTAGTGGATCCCTAAATTAAGACTTTTCAATGCAAACCTGAATTAGTTGAGTCCCAAAAATGTATCAAATACCACGAGAAAGTGAATGATATTTTTTGGCTCAAAAAACAAAAGGCATTAAAATTAAAGAAACTCATCCCCTTATGCTAAATGTATGAATGAATTATCAAGAACAACCTAGTGCACATATAAAATATTTATAAACACGGTAGATCAATCATATCGTTAATGAATTTTAATTTTTTCACTCATATCTGTTAGGAAAATAACACCATATCTTTTACAAACAAAATCAAAAAAATAATAATTCAACCTACATGGAGGTTCAATTTTTTTTGTGAATAAAATTGATCTTACGCTTCAAGTTTTTGAGTTGCCTCCACAGAGTGCCTCTGGCCCTGCCCTTTCCTTTTTGATCCTTTTTGGGATATTGATGATTCTCCAACTTGTTTTTTCCCGGAATCTGCCATTTTTTATTGCTAATTTTCTGTTCAATGATACAAAATAACAAAAAAGAACACAAAAAAACCAAGTCTTAATATATGTTTGGTTTATTCTTTACCAATCAATTTATAAATGAAGCAACTAGAACAGAACAAAGAGAAAAGAGATATATAAGAGAGATTTTTACACACCTTTCGATTGAAAGAGACATGTTATAAGTTCATAGTAAGTGATCTATTTAAATAGTAGAAAATTAATTGACTTACCATGTGATAGACACATAGAATCTGATATTGCAATAAAGTAAGAGAGGAATAATAGAGAATATAAAATGTGAACACAAAATAATATCTGTGATCTATTTAATTTTCCTTCAACAAAATATTTGATCAAATATTTGGTCTGTAATTAGTATCTATGGTTTGCTATTTAACTATTATTTATGAAAACCGCATCATACGTTAAATTTCATAAATGGATAAATAATTATAACCTCCCTCAAAGAACCAACATTGCGCTCCCTTGGAGCCAAATTAAGTAAAACTAAGACATTTAGATTTTTTTATAACTGAAAATTCACATCTCTCACCTCTATTTCTACTCAAAATTAAATGACATGCAACTAGATGCACACAAATCATAGTCAAGAAACCCACAACACTTCACATTACAAAACTCAATAGGATAAACACCCATCATAGTACAATTGTACTAAACTTGAACACCAGATAGTCCAAGTCCAAGGCCTCAGACCCACAATCACAATAATTATTAAAAAAGCTGAAGAATCTCAATATAATCACGCAATCACATTAAAAGAAACCAACACGTTTAAATCTATGTTTCAACCATCTAAGAGAATTCTAAGGATCCTACAATGTCAAACCAAAGATAAAGCCAACCTAAACAAAAGTTTTATGGATAAAATTTTAGTCTAAAGTCCTGAAAATGGCCAAAAGGAGAGTAATGATCATACAAGCCTAATAATTCATCCTACATCCTTCCTAATGATCATGCAACTCATTTTATATAGAAACTAACTAAGCTAATTAAAAAAAGGAAAGACCATAACCTACATTATATTGAAGCTAAAGCACACTTAAACCTATAATCATAAGTTTTTCCATTCTGAAGAGCCTCAGAATGCTTCCATGCTATTAAAAATTAGAATATACATGTCAACACGGGACTAACGATATCCATAACAATGTTATGAAATTTAGACAAAAAACGGATAAAAAATTGACCCTCAAATTTCTTCAATGAAATGGAAAACTAACTTCATCATTATGTTCCCCTCAACGTGAATATCACATGCCCCAAAGTTAGACGAAGAAGAAAATTAATTTAGACATCAAATGGTCAAAAATTAAACTTTAAGGAAAATATAAATCAATGGATTTTAGCTTGAAAATGGAATCAAATCGCTAAAATGAAGCTAAAATACGTAATCGAAAGCGATAAGGAAGAACTCTACCGTAAAATAAAGTAAAATGGTGTAGAATTGAGAAAATCCTATCAAGACCAAGCTCTAGCCCACTTTTTCACACTTATGAAAATTGAGATGATGAGAGAGATAGAACACCAGCGATGACCGCAAAAGCGGCAAACTGGTCACTAAAGAGACTCGGCCATGTTAGGAGTCTTTTACTGTTTAGTGCCTGTTTACAATTTAGATTTAGTATTCGGTTAATAAAGTTCATATTGTTATGAGATTAATATATGTTAAGTTGTTTGGGTCATTAGAGTTTGTTGGACTCAGGAAACTTAGATTTAGCCTAAGTTAGTAGTGTAAGGCTACATATACACTAGTTTGTTTCAATAAAATCGATCGATTTTTCCTCTCATATTCTCTCTTTTGTAGTCTTTCCTTCATTCTCAACATTTGGTATTAGAGCCCTATTACGGGGTTAGAAGTTGCGTCTTCGAGGTATTTTTTTCACAGCTCCAACATGACACCAGAGAGTTCCTTTGTCCAACCAGCAGTACCAATGTTTGATGGGTACTATGATCATTGGGCAATGCTCATGGAGAATTTTCTGCGTTCAAAGAAATATTGGGGTATTGTGGAGAATGGGATTCCCGCATCAGCAACAGAAGCTATGATGGATTCATAGCGGAAGAACGTTGATGATCAGAAGTTGAAAGACTTGAAAGCAAAGAGCTATCTGTTTTAGGCATTAGATCGTCCAGTCCTAGTGAGAATTCTAAAAAATAGTACATCAAAGGATATATGAGACTTTATGAAGTAGAAATATGAGGGTAATACACGAGATAAGCGTGCACAATTGCAATCTCTTCACAAAGAGTTTGAAACTCTTCACATGAAGGTTGGGGAAACAATAAATGAATATTCTGCTCGAACTCTCACCATAACTAATAAGTTAAAAGCAAATGGTGAGTGAAAGGGAGATATAGGAGTTGTGAAAAAGATCTTGAGATCCATGACTACCAAGTTTAATTATGTTGTATGTTCCATTGACTATTGATGAACTTCAAAGCAGCCTACTTGTGCATGAACAACGAATGATCCCTTTAATTGAGGATGAACAAGCCTTAAAAATTTCTCATAGAGAACTATATGGTGGAAGGGGTCGAAGCTTTGGAAGAGGAGGTCATGGAAGGGGTAGGGGCAGATTTGACAAGGCTACAGTAGAGTGTTACCACTATCGCAAACTTGGGCATTTTCAATGGGAATTTCCACAAAAGTAAAAATAGGCAAATTATGCAGAAACTCAAGAAGAGATGTTATTGATGGCGTATGTCAATCATGCTGACAAAGAGAATACATGGTATCTTGACTGAGGATGCAACAATCATATGTGCGGAAATAGGGAATACTTCTTCGATTTTGATGGAAGCTTTAAAGATTCGGTGAAGTTGGGTAACAATTTAAGCTTGAGTGTAGTAGGAAAGGGCAATATAAGGCTTCAAGTGAAGGAAACAACACAGGTCATCACAAGTATGTTTTTATGTACCAGATTTAAAAATTAATTTGCTGAGTATTGGCTAACTATAGGAAAAGGGGCTTGCCATTTTGTTTTAACGTGACCAATGTAAGGTTTATCATCTTGACAAAGGTTTAATTATTAAGATAACAATGGCTTAAAATCAGATGTTTGTTGTGCATCTTATATCTCTGCCCATATCATCTGCTTGTTTCAATACCATCACAGAAGACATGGTCCAACTTTGGCCTTGCCGGTATGGACACTTAAGCTTTAAAGGCCTAAAGATTCTTCAGCAAAAAGGGATGGTGCACGGTTTGCCTCAACTTGATTCTTCTTTGAAGCTATGCAAAGACTGTTTAGTGGGAAAGCAACAACGTTATCCATTTCCAAAGAAGAGTAATTGGAGAGCTTCATTGATACTACAACTAATGCATGCTGATATTTGTGGTCCAATCAAGCCCATCTCTAACAGAAAAAAAAGTATTTGCATAATTTCATTGACAACTTTAGCAGAAAATTATGGGTTTATTTTTTGGCTGAAAAGTCTAAAGCCTTTGCTATGTTCAAAAGGTTTAAGACCCATGTTGAAAAAGAGACAAATTCTTTCATTAGGGGTTTTGTACAAAACGGGGAGGAGAATTTAGCTCACATGAATTATCTAATTTTTGTGGTGAGAATGGAATAAAAAGACAATTGACAGCTGCTTGTACGCCGCAATAAAATAGAGTTGCGGAGCGGAATAATAAAACCATTATGAATATGACTCGTAGCATGCTCTCAAAGAAGAAAGTTCCCAAGACTTTCTGGCCCGAAGCAGTAAATTGGATAGTCCATGTCTTGAACCGGAGCCCCACATTGGCAGTAAAAGAAAAGACACCAGATCGAGAAAGCATGAAGTGGAGTTCAACCCTCAGTTGAGTACTTTAGAGTTTTTGGCTGCATTGCTCATGTTCATGTGTCTGATCATACTAGATCAAAGTTAGATAATAAGAGTGTGTGTGTTGTATTTTGCTGGGAATCAGTGAGGAATCAAAAGCTTATAGACTTTATGATCCAATTTCACAAAGGATCATTATAAGCAGGGATGTTGTGTTTGAAAAAGATCGAAGCTGGGATTGGGATAAAAGTCATGAAGAAACATTTGTGTGCGATTTGAAATGGAATAAAGGTGGAAATGAAGCAGTTTCTGTAGCTGTAATACAAGAAGATAATGAATCTAGTTACGAAGAAACAAAGGGTAATTTCCCTTCTGATCCTCTGCCTGCAAACCGTCAATCTTTTGTTGTGTCAAATGGGAGAATTAGGACATAACCAATTTGGATGCGAGACTATGAAACAAGTGAAGGTATCCCTGAAGAAGAAAATGATATGGTTATGTTTACAAAAATTAGTACAGATCCTATTTACTTTGAAGATGCGGTTAGAAATGAGAAGTGGAGAAATGACATTGACGTAGAAATAGAAACAATAGAAAGAAATGACACTTGGGAATTGATGGATTTGCCTGAAGGAGGAAAAAGGATTGGAGTTAAATGGGTTTATATGACTAAATTTGATGAAAATGGAGAAGTAAATAAATATAAGGCTAGGCTTGTAGTGAAGGGGTATGCCCAACAACATGGGATTGACTACACATAAATATTTGCACATGTGGCGCGTATGGAGACAATTTGATTGGTGATTGCACTTGCAGCACTGAGAGGATGACATTTGTACCAGCTAGATGTCAAATCTGCCTTTTTACATGGGGAGCTACATAAAAATATTTTTGTGGAACAACCTTGTGGTTATGAGTAGAAGGGGAATGAGCAGAAGGTGTATAAGCTAAAGAAGACACTTTATAGGCTTAAGCAAGCTTGGTACAGTCGCATAGAGGCCTACTTCATGAAGCAAGGTTTTGACAAATGTGACTATGAGCATACATTGCTCATCAAAACAGAGATAAATGGCAATATATTAAGTGTAAGTTTATATGTTGATGATCTCATTTTTTGCAGAATTTTATAGTTTCATGAAGGATGAATTTGACATGACAGACCTTGGAAAGATGAGATATTTTCTTTGTCTGGAGATTT